TTTTCTTTTTAATTTAAACTTTCACCGTATGGCTTGATCACACCTGGTCACTGCTGTTAGGAACAAGTAAGTTCTAGTTGCTTCTACAAATTCTTTAGAAAGTGGTTCTTTAGAAACTTCTTTAGAAACAAATTCTTTAGGAAGTGGTTCTCTTGAAACCTTAGAGTGCTTCAGAATCACCCAGATTAAGTATGTATAATCCTGAGATCTGAAGAAATTCTGATTCAGTAGGTGGGGCCCAAGAATATGCATCTTTAACAAGCTTCCCAGGTAATCGACTACACATTTGAAAATCACTGCCCTACTCTAGACACTTCGTCACCGTAAGAATACCAATCTCTATTTTGAGAATTATCAGTAGGACAAGAATACTGGGGGAATGTTTTAAAACTACAAGCAAATACAGGCTGGCAAGCATTTGTTAATTATGTGCTCATACATGTACATGGTGTGAGAAATTCAAAGTAATTATCAGAAAGAGTTGTTATCCTGGAGGATAATCTTGCTGAGGAAAAATGAAACTTCTAAAGACTGATATCTAACAGAATACTCTATCTAAATGCTAAACAGTGTAATACAGCCTACATATGCTAGAGAATTTGAGAAAAATTTATAAACAAAATAGTTAGAATTTTACTGATGTGCCATGTAAACTCAGAGTGAGTGATAATTTATGAAAAATATGAATTTAATAGATTCTAAACTCAAATATAGACAGTTATCTTTGGCTATATTCTAGATTTTTCTTCATTTGTGCCTATTTTAAACCACTGCTTCTTTTGAAGCTATATTTCAACACTTTTATTTTTCAGATGGTTTGACTGACTGTGTGGACCCTGATTGTTGTCAACAAAGCAACTGTTATGTAAGTCCTCTCTGTCAGGGCTCACCAGATCCTCTTGACCTCATTCAGCAAAGCCAACCCCTCTTCTCTCAGCATACTTCAAGGCTCTTCTACGATCGAATCAAATTCCTTATTGGCAAGGACAGTACTCATGTCATTCCTCCAGAGATCTCGTTTGAAAGCAGGTATGTATGTATTTATTTTATTCTTTAATGAACAGTGCTCATGTTTTTCCTTAACTGTGAAAGGAGGATATCTTCTAAAGTTCAGGTTACTTCCCATTCCACACAATCCATAGAGATTTCTATTTTAGGCTTATCTGGAATGCCCAAGAACTTACTGATTAGTTAAGGGAGAGAACTCATTACTAGAGATTCTAAATCATAAAACACACACACACATATGATGTGTATTATTTGTAGTAAAGTGTAGATGGGTCTTTTAATGACAAAAACAGGATGAAAGTATAATTTGCAAGTTTACTGTTTAGCTTCTGGATTGATTCCTTGAAAACTTCTTGAATTTCAAAAGCTAATTTTTTCACTATTAACAACTTTTGCCTTAATATGTGAATTATATTAATAACCCACATTACATATATGAAGCAAATTACACTTAGTTGTTTACAACCTCATATCCTACTCCCTGTACACATTCCAATAAATTTATTCTATAAAAATAATACATGTTTTATTTTTAATTTATTTTATTTTATTTTATTTATTTATATTTTTGGACTGTTTTCTTTCTCATACTGTCTTTGTTATTTTTTTTTTACGATTTTTTTAATTGGGGAATTGGGGGATGGGAACAGCGCTGGAGAATTGGAGGAAGGGGAAAAGACAAGTTGCTGTTGTTTTGTTCTTCAGTCTAGTTGTGGAGGACGTTGCTTCACTGGCCCAAGTTGG